ATCCTATGCGTTTAGCCGTATGCGTTTAGCCGTATGCGTCCTCGTGTGGCCGGGGCCGTAGCCCTAATGCTCCAGTTAAAGCTGCTCAGTGACCAATGGGTCTGACGGTGTACTCGGAAGCTTCCATGTCTAAATGAGTCTAACTGTGTGTGGGAACAGAGCATTCCTGAAAGATGTCCGAGGATAATTCAATAAATAAATAAATATAGAACAAAACAAATATTTTTAAAAGGCAAACAATAATAGTGGTTCAAAGAGTGGAAGAGGTTCAAAAGGGAAGAAAATGAAAGGGGTGAGAAGGAGGATGTGAAGACCCTGAGTGGGGTTGAGGTTAGGCTGTCCCAGGGACGGAAGTTTAAAGAAAAAGATCAAGAACATAAAAGCTAATTATTGTATCCCAAAACAAGAGCTGAACATGCAGGCCTGCAGTCGTGTTAATGAGGTGAGGGAAAACAATTGGAGCTGTTTTGGCCATCAGCTCGTTCCAGTCTGTCTTTCCTCTGATGAGCCTTTAAAGGGCTTTTCATCTCTGTTCAGTCTCATCCGGGCAATTACTGCACGAACAAATCATGCCCATTCCAAGATGGCAGGATAAATAACTGTGATGCAGAATGAAAATACTACCCTCCCTCTTCCTTTCTCTGTCTTCCTATCTACGCCTCTTTCCTCTCTACAGTTTTCCTCTTGCTGACACATGTGGGCGCTCTCAAGTTCACTCCTGGCACACAGACAAAAGCTCTGCAATCAACACACACTGACTGCCCAGTCTCTCCTGTCATGACAGTGAAATCAAGAGGTGGCACTATGCTATGCTCACGCACAAAAGACTTGTTGCTAAAGCTGTTGAATATTGTGAGATGCTGAGCTGCCCTACAACATAATACTTTTTTGGTTCTAAATTCATGATATGAATGACAGCGGGTCAGTAACTATGATGTCAGCTTTTGCTTTACAACTGTGGTTTAGAAGAAGAGAGATTAGTATTTTGGCCAGCGCCATTTTGTAATTTTTTATTGAGAAGTGTAACAAAATTGTGGATTACAAACTTACGATTAACAGAAGGCGACAACAATTACAATTAACTTTGAGGCAGTAAAAAGCCTACTCTGAAAGGCAGCCAAAATGGACATCATGGTGTTACCTGTTAATCACAAGGTTGTCCCGCCCTAAAGCCTTCCCTACTTTATCATTTATTAAACTCTAAGTGGGACCATCATTTACTAAATGAACATCATGCTGTGATGAAGAAGACTTGAAACTAGCCATTGAGACCAGCAACTCAACAGGACAATGTTTACTGAGGTCATTCATTAAGTGAAATGTAGAATCATTTTCTCATAGACTTCTATTCATCTGGCCTTCTTGTTGCAACAAGTGCAGTCGCCAACTTCTGGCTATTAGAAAGAGTACAGGTTTGATTGCAATATGTGCAGGATAGTTGTAAAGTATCAAAAAATCAAATACAAATATTCTGAACGCCAACTTTTCTGATCTGTCTATTTGGACAGGGTCGGTATTAAAGATTGTTCTAACTCTCCCACACGTGTAACTACAATACCTTTTTCTTCATCGTGTGAGTCTAATATCATTTGGATCTTCTGTTGGTTTAATAATATATGCTTTGACACTTTAGTGCACTTAATTTGTAAATGCAAAATGTCAATATGCTCAAGCCGATGCATTTGAAGCTTGGAACCACAAAATGCAAGTAAATGTAGCTGCTTTCAAGTTCTGTATCGTTATGTGTGGCACTATGATTATGTCTTTCTGAAACATTTTGTTCCGCAAATCTCTGAGTCTGACATATTTTCATCTGACATGTTCCTGTGATTAAAAAGCAAATGTAGAATGATATACCTTGTGTGGGACCCATTCTCAGTTTTACCCAGATTTAGCTCTGCTCGGGAGGTGCTCTCAGTCATCTAAGTGTACCCTGGCTCAGATCTGGTCTGTGTATATCCCAAACCGAGCATATCATTACAGCTGAAAGAACATGGGGACAGTTGGCTGACCAGTAATTTGGCTTCCCTAAATGTTGTCACTAGTCATTCCAAAGGTTCTTCCCATCCCCACAGTCTGGACCTTACAGAGGAAACAAGCTGTACAATTAAGCGGGCATTTATAAAAAGATAAATATACCGGGAGACATGACTGTATGTGAATTTGATGCAAATTTGGACAACCAACAGACGTGACCCTTTAATCCAACATGCATGCAAGCATGGAAATATTGTCTTTATTTTATCGCTTTCTACACTTAGTAGGGGATGATTTTAGTCAGAAAGCTAGAGCTGTTGTTTTTTTTTAACTTGAATAATCTGACTTCTGTAATGTGAATTACAGAAGGGGCTCTGTTATGCTACTTTTGTTTCATATTTGTATATTATGCTTCTATGACATGTTTACATGCTTTATTGTTCAAAAAGAGCTTTATTTGTCTTGTCTGAAACCAGAGCCCAGTCTGGTCTGAATGTTTAGTTGGCCGGCTCTGTTGTGATTGGTGTTGTGCGGTCAACCACTTAGAGATGTCCCGCACCTTAGCCTATCATGTACAATGTGTTAGAGCGCTAGCCAATAGAAGCGCACAGTTACATAGTGATGTCACTATGTCACGGAAGATAATAAAGGAGTCCAATGGAGGCATTTTCAGGGGGCTAGTGTGTGGAAGAGAAACTTTGGGATTTTAACTCCCCAAAAGCATAAAAGGGCCTCTTTAAGGTACCTGTATTTTTCTTTTGGGTACACATTCCCAATTTATTTGGCAGACTGCAAATAGTTTACAAAGAAAACACATTTTTTAAGTTGTAAGTTCTCTTTTGCACAGCCAAGGAAACTTGTGCAACCCTGAAGTTCAGAGGGGGGGTTAAAGTATTTAACTGTGGAGGTCGATCTTCATACCTAGAACAGAAAATAACTGAGCATCCAACACACCTGACATCTTGTCCTCCATTTTGGTATTTGACCTGTCAAGAGAGTTTGCAAGCGTGCGTGTGTGTGTTTGTGTGTATGAACCATATATACAGTCTATGGTATGAACGCCACAGCGATGCTGGCAAATGACTTCAAACACGGCTGGTTTTTTGGTGCACAGTAATAACATTCACCCGGTAAAAATTGACATTGGTGAAGCAGAAATGAAGAGGAATTTGACCCCAGGGATAAAAGGTGTCTTTCCGCAGGGCTCACCCTCACACGCTGGAGGGGAGGGAGTGGGGTGAAGAAACAGGAGTGAAGGAGAGGAATAGTTAGAGCCAGAAGGAGACTGGGGAGATAGGAGGGCAGGACACTGCAAACCGGGATTGAAGGATTAACAGAATCAAAGAGAGAAGAATTGAAGGTGAAAGAGAAGAGTGAGACCTAGAAGGTGAGACAAGACTGTGATGATGGAAACATTAGTCAGGAAAAGAAGGATGGGAAATGAAGAGAGAAAGGCAGAAAGGTTTAAGGGCTAGAGAAATGTTAAGAAGGACGACAGAATACAGTTCAAAGAGGGCACTCAAACAGGTGTCTAAATGATGAACTATAATCAACTGGTTTTCAGCTAAATCATTACATTTCATAGCATCAAGTGATCCTCCGAGAAATAGTATCTTACAACTGGTGATGATCTTATTTTGGAATCTTAACACAACTTATGTTGGCAATTACTGTCCTGAATCATAATGGGCAACTTACTGTCTGGTTTTATAGTCTCCTCTAAAACTGACGCTGCTGATCCTGGTGCAGAACAGAAAACTCATTGTGCCTGCCCCCTCTGTTGGCAGCTGCTGGTACTACAGGAGCAGCTTCCACAGTGGCACACTTGGCTCAGACATCTGAAACATGGAAAGTGATGCTTAACCTCAACCTCATTATACGTAGTCTACTTATTCAAGTCATGGTAACCAACTGCATGTTTTATAACAAATTAACCACCATTTTGCACAAGATTAACCAAGAGTTTAGCTAATTAAACCTTACACTCAAGTTAGATTTGGCCTGCTCAGTAAATCACACAAATAAGAGAGGCTGCTGGTGTTTCTATTACCCGACCAACCGCACATAACACAGAGGAAGTACTGCTTATTCTGCATGAAGTTCTGTCTTCCAAAAAGTGTGTTTTAAAGGGTGACATTTTGAGATATGAAGATTGATTGATTTGAACATGAAGCACAGCTTGGCTTTTAAAAAAAGAATCTATTTTGTGGCCTAAAACCAAAGTTTAACAAAGCCTCTGTAGAATAAATGACATCAAGATCTAGACAACTTAAATAAAGTTAGGAACTTAAGATGTATGCAGGCCTTAAATAGTGAGCTAAGCTGAGCAAGGGCTTTACGTTCTAGCTCATGGCGACCAGGAAGAAGAGCTGATCTGGACAGACTGTGAAAGACGAGGGAGGGGACATACTGGAGGTGGTGAAAAGAGATATAGATAGAGAGAGCAGCTTCTAACTATGGCCACACAGATGCAAGCTCATACCCACATTCCTGTCTTTCTTAACATTTAAATAAGCAGTTGAGGGAATAGAGCCACCGGTTCAGGGTGAAATGTACTGATCTCAGCTCTGCTGCTTCCTCATTGGCCAAGGTGTGTTCAGTAGGCGTGGATGCCATGGAGGACAATTTCACCATCCAGCAGCTGTTATCAAGGGAGGAGGTGGAGACCCTGGAGGACAAAGGGGTCAGTGCTCCCTCTAGAGGGGGAAAGATGGGAGTGCGGAGGAAGCGGTCAGCCGGGGCCCTGCGGTCCTGCTGGACTGAGGAGATCAGCAACATTTCTCCAGGACAGAGGGAGTTTGGACACTTCAACTCATGGACAGTGAGTGGGTGATATATGTGGAGCCACAATGAAATTAGCACAGTGTAATGTTCAGCCCACAGTGCGTTAAAGGCTGTAATTAAAAGGTCATTTTCATTTCAATCTTTCAATATTCATTTGACATCATTTAGCTTGATAACAAAATACTTTGCAGTGTTTGAAATGACTTTTGCGAAAAATTATAAATAAAAAACACTTGACATACAGTATTAAAACCTTTACTCGGACATGATACAACAAACAAGATTTAGAATTAATGACTGAAAAAGTATTCATATTTTTTTTTCTTCTTTCAATCCCCGAAGTACACGATAGTCACTCAGCTCCATGTGTACGATGGAGTCGGATACAGACAGGACAAAGAACTGACACGAGAGAACAATAAAAAAAAATAAGGGTGACATATTCCACTTCTGATTTTACAGTTCTTGCTTTTGTTTAATACTTTGTCACCTAATTAATAAAATATGAATATCACAGCTGGAGAGGAGGGAGACAGGAAACAACACAAAGAAACAGCGTGAATTGTTTTTTTAAGGTGAAGAAGAGTAGACAATTAAGGGAGATTTGAGTTCTACCAGAAAATAGGTTTTCTTCTTGAGCGACTTAACGACACCTGATCTGAGTTGTGTTTCAGTCCTCATCCCTCCTTTTTCTCTTTGACTTCCAAATATCATCCCACCTAACACATGATCAACAACCTCCTCTTTAAAGTGCGCAATCATATTCCTTCCATCAAGTTCAATACATGTAACCAGATTCTGCTCAGAGGTGCCTCCTGCAACCAGACCTCTTCAGGCCTTTTCACTGCGTCTCCAAAGAGCCACGGTTTCTCCCTCATGTTCTAAATGGTGGTATCCAGCTGCAGCCACATGTGACTGACACAGTAGAGCAGGGCTATCCCTGTTTTAACCGTTCCCTACTTGCATTTCAGTCATATATGCATTTCCCTGTGTCATGGAAACAAGAGCATACGTTTTAAGGGCCGGGGGGGACCCTATTAAAAAAAAAGCACCAATGAACTGCTTGAGCACCAAGAGGGGGCCACACACTGGTGCACTACTGTCTCCAGAGAACAGCCCTTCCCCTCTCCACACAAAGTGTCACTCCGATCCTCTTAGGGTCCCTCTTTAGTATGCACTACACAGCCTAAGGTTAGCACACACTCTTTAGTCTGCTGCACAATTAACACAACATACATGACAAACAAGCACAGGGGACTGAGGCCCTGCATTAAAAAAAAGAAGCCCAAATCGGCGTACAGCTTGGCAGTGATAAACCAGTGAGGGTGGTTCAAAGGCGGCATAGCACACACTGCCTCATTGATCATAATGGGATAGGCCTTGGCTCCAGAGGGCCTGTGTCAATAGGTACAAATGCCGCCCTGATATCTATTCGATACACGATGATCAACTCTTCAGTCACAGCCAGCGATCTTATTAAAAAAAGCATGTTTAATCAATGTCCTTATTTTCAGAAAGCGATTCATTTCAAAAAGTAACAAAGATGGCGACAACAATACTGCTGCACAGTCAAAAGGTCACAGCATGCGTCTGCCTTGAGTGCACACCGTTGCAACGATAAACATGTGTGGGCGGCACGGTGGGATATAGCGGTCTCCCGTGGCGAGCGCGGATCGTCGCTACCATCAAGTAAAGTAAGCAGAGAGGGACACGGGGCACTGAATCCCTTCCTTACAGCTCTCCAATGCTCGTCCCGAAGAAAGCTTCACATCCTTTTCAAAACAGTCCAAGAATAAGAGGATTATTTTACAAAAACCTTTCCAATGCAAAGCCAAGTTCAGCCCAGTGAATGGATGAGCATTTGTTAGGTTTAAAGTTAAGCAGTGGAGACGGGGTAAAGTGGAGGAAGGGAGGAGGCTGTGTTGATAAAGCATCAGGTCAAAACGGCTTTTCATCAGCCCTCCAGCTTGGCTCCTCTTCCTCTGTGTATCAAGTCTATCATCACACCACACATCACCACCAAAGCTATATTATCTGCCAGTCAAAAGGCGGAGCTGCAGACAGACTCATTACATATGTGCATAAAAAGCATACACATGTGGCCACACATACCCTATAACAAATGTTAAAAAATCATTAATACACAACCACCAGCTCTCGCTCAAACAGCTGGCCTGATCAGCAGAGCTGCAGGTGGCTTAGCATTCAGAACCTGCACGGACTTCTCTTTCAAAAGTGTTTACTGCATCAGTTCATCATTCTTTTAATGACATACACTCGTAGTGCAATGTTAAGAAATAGAGAAATTGGTAATTTTTAACACATTGCTGTTATTTATATGGGGGATGGGAAATCTAAATCCTTTCATATGCCAATTCACTTATGTAACAGATAAAGCAACAATGTGCAGCAATTAGCATACTGTCACTTCTTGATGATTATTGGCATTTGCTCAGTCAGCTGATACATGACTGCCTTCATAATGATTCCCATCTCCAGGTATGAACATGATGCAGTAGAACTCCAAACACCAACATCCTGCATACATGCTACAGTCAGCCTACTCTCTGAGAGACAAGAAGGTTGCACTCACATTCATTCCAAACAGTCTTAGGACAGCTGTGCTATAATCCAGATCACAAAGCTCAACGTTTGGTGGCCACATATTCCTTGTTCACTCAAGTCAAAAAACTCAGACTAATAGTTTAGGCTGATCTGAACACTCCAGATACTAAAGCACTGAGACCACACCGCATCTTAAACAGTGCAAGAATGCTAGCAAATGTCGGTGCCCGTCACCTAAACCATAAGCGCGGCACCAGCTTGCGTTTCTTTGCAGACACTCCAAAAATAATGGATCAAGGGTTTACAAGGGGTCGACTTTTCCCTACATGTAGGGAATGAACAGACATCAGGAGAATACTTCATGTGTTGAATGCATGGATGGAGAACAACTGAAACAACACTTCTATGGTTAGACCAACACACTGACATTAAACAAAGCCACCTGTTTTACAGGTTATCTAACAGCCAACCTCTAATCCGCATTTCATGGGGGAGGCTAAGGGTCCTCTTTCAGAAGTATTTGGACTATCTGCAGGGCAGGAAGCTCGATGCTAATTCTGGTCAAAGTATTTCACCTTACCTTTCATCTTTTCACCAGCCTAACTGATTTCTAAAATACAAGAGACACTGTGTCTTGTAGAGTACTACGATTTGTCAGCCACAGTCCAAATGTACAAGCTGGTAGTCTGCAATAACATAAGGGGTCGTAAAGTAAGAATAAAAAAACTCTACAAGGGAATCCTGCATCCTAAGAAGAACGTTCAATAAGCGGAGAATGATTTTCCTGTGTACTTGCATACTTTGTTTGCATTGATGTGAATGTGCAAGTTTTGAACTAAAAGTATTATTTAGCACCTGGTAGAGGACAGCTGTACCTCTTCCCTGCAGAATGATACTGTAAAATATATGTTGCTAGTTGCTATTAATTGCGGAGAGTATACCTAACAGAAAACGTTAAACATGAACATAAAAGGTAATACATCTGTGTGAGACCCCAGTATTGCTCACCTTTGAGCATGTGTATATAGATTATCTCATAGTTTATCTCCTGATCATGTGGTAGCTGCATTTCATATTTCACTGTGACGCTTCAGATTCAGTTGCACACAAATTTCAATCACAGTAAATGCCAAGTGCCATTGTCAATTAAATCCAGCCAATCAATTACCAGGAACAACAGGAAGCATTGGTGCAAAAGCAGCATTGAGGTGTGGTGTGGTGTGGTGTGGTGTGGCCCTGGGCTCAATAATAATAATGTCTTCTTGATGTCCTTAATGCTAATGTTGATTCAACAGCAAAAAATTGAGCTTTTTAAATTTGACATATTTCACATTCACATTGACTGTGAACAGGCCTTTGTTTCTACACAAATCCTATGTTTTTCTTTTTTTAGTATTTACATCAACTGTACAAAAGTTGCAAGCATTGAGCCAATACACACTGAATAAAGTTTCCAAAGTTGCAGGTAGTAGGTGTAGGATTTCCATTATATAACTGATATCAATGTTGCATTACATGAACGCGACACGCTAGTTATTCAGCAAGCTGCATTGTTTACCAGACTATATTCCCATCCGGCAATCCTTCATGAGGAGCAGGATAGCAGAGAATTGGATTGATTGATGATCAGGTGAAATGTTGCATTACTGCCAATTTGAAATCATTTCATCTGGTCTTAACAATTCTTGCTGCTGCTCTTAGTGTAGCACTTCTTTTTGAGTCTGGTTTTACATAGGGGATCGGGTGCAGCATCCTAAATACAAAGCTGTGTGATGCAGACACTTTTTGATTTTCTTCCAATGGGCAGTTGATTTAAAGAAGATATTTTTGGAATAAAGAGCATCGTATCTGAAAAATCAGCTCGACTGGGTGTTTTGACAGGCGATCATACCGGCTCAACGGTTTCAAAGGGATCAGTCCCAAACTTCCTTATTGTCTGAACAGGAAGTGGGCAATCATTTAACATGTTCTATAATAAATCATCACATCTGATTCAACAATGATGCAATAATGACAAAATCCTACACATAGTAGCTTCAAGTTCATCTTAGGTGTCTGAGAATAGATGGTCATTTCTAGGAAACAGGAACATTTACACAGTAACAATTCACAAAAGTGCATAAATGACCACCAGCAAAAGGAGGATTTGGGAGAAAAGGAGATACAAGAAACTAGGATTAAGTCATGCAGGAAGCTGTACTTCCTGTGAGCCTCAAAATGATTTCAATTGCCAACCAACTGCCCAAATAGAGAAAAGGAGGAAATCAAAACTAGGAAAAAAAAAAAAAATTCAAGTCATTCTTCTAGTCTTACAAAAAGCCCGCTGTGCGCATCACGGTGGGAGGGACACAGCTCGTCTTTAGACAAAGTGCTCCCACTCCCCTTTTCCTGGATTTCAATGCCTTGGAAAAAGCTTTCATTTCATGAGTACAGTACTTCAAAAAAGAAACTCTAACCAGTTTCAGCATGAATATATATTTATATATATATATA